GATGTGATTGGGGTGAGGAGATTACTTGGACAGAATATTCCTGTATTTACTTTGATCCTCGACTTCCGGCCTGTAGTTGTGCAATTAGCCTCAGCATGGAGCACCCGCTTACATCTGAGCTGCACTATCACCGCGGTGCGAGTCCAGCCGCTACTGTCTTGCAGAACACACAATACCTGTCTGCGGGGAGATCTCAGTTAAAGTTGCATTTGAGCCGAGACAGTTGCGATACTATTGAGAGCATCGACTGTCACTGATAGCTTTTGAGCCAAGTGTTTGGTTGGCTTTGTCACCAATTATTATTGAATTCCTAGCCGAGTAGTAGAAAGATGTATTATTATTGTGATATGGTGTGTTGATTTCGATCTTTTTAAAGACGTACGTTTTGGTTTATGGATACCAGCGGGTTTGTTCGGTTTTTGGTTTGTTTGTTTTATGTCTGTGTGTTACCAGGTTGTTCTTATCAGGAAGGAGAAGTTTGTAAGATTCTGGAGCTACCTGGAAAATCCAAAAAGTAGAAATCTAGTTCAGCTCTGCGTTCTGCGTGTCTTTTGGTCGTTGGGAAGTGCATTCCAGGGAAAACCTATTTGAAAAAAGAATTTTAAAGACTTCTGTCTTTGCTCAGTTGCGACAAGGCGTTTGCATTGTCTTACCTGTGGTTTTTTCCCTCCGTTCCTGTAAGGCCACGAAAGATTTTCCTCACAGACAGTAAAGTGTTATCACGTCTTATCATATCTTATCGTATCTTATAAACTGACAACAGAACTAACTGACAAAAATGCCCAGTAACAGCCACGAGAAGCGACAGCTGAAGAAACAGGACGCCCTGATGGACATGTCACATCTCAACTCCAACACTTGTCTCAGCGGAGACTGTTCCCCCAATCTCAACTCTCGACATCGCGCCAACGACTCCTCAAACGAGCGCATTTCCATCATCAGCAACCGGACGCCACCGCGGAAAAATTCCGACGGGTGGGACATCGGTCGTAAATTGAACCATAAAAAGTCGTGTTACGATCATTGCTCTCTGCCGGGCGAAGGTGCCGCCATGTTGGATTCCCACACTCCTGGAAAAGATTCTGGTGGTGGCGGTGGTGGTGGTGGTGGAGGAGACAGTTATAGAAGACCGTCCAGGCTCCTGGACAAAATCAGGATGTTCTCAAAGATGAGGTCATTGACCCGGCCGAGCAAGACGGACTCCAGCCAGGAGAACCATGTTCTGGAGATCAGGGAGGACGGACCAGTCTGTCTCATCCAGGAGAGCCCCAACAGGATATTCCGGGTAAGTTCATAATAATAGATAGCATTTGTATAGCGCAAATCCCCGCTTAACAGCAAGCTCTATGCGCTTCACATATGCCTACCCCAGCATCATTCCTGAGAGCATTCTGAAATAACCTCAACTTCCTCGGAAGCATACAGTCCCAGAAACAAAACTATAACACAAAAGTGACTGATAAAATAAGTGATGTTGTCAAATCCTTTGCTGGTAGACAATGCACAGTTGATAGTAGACTTGTCTGCTACGTGCTGTGTTTTGGTGGACAATTATTGTTATCAGTTTCAGAAATAGACAAATATTGAGAATTTTTCGGACATGGTTTTCAACAACTGCATTGTGCTGTACAGTCTGACTCAAGTCGAGGCTTTTACTGCCAAAACAAGGATGATGCTGAAAACGGTTTTATTTCTTTTAGATTGGTAGAAATTGGATGAAGCAGGAGATATTAATTTCTTGCGAAAAGGGTCCTTCCGCCACTGATTTATAGTAAAATGACGTGTTCACCTGTTATGAATATAATATTCATTTCTGGCAGGAAATAGTCGTTTGTCGATTTAGTTGTATTCATTATGAAAATTGTTTCTTTATTGCGCGCCTAGTATAATCCATTCTTGCATTATGACACCTTACTAGTTGGGGAAAATAGTTTGTGTGCGTGTGTTTGTGTAAGTATGTGTGTATTTGTATGCGTGTAAGTGTATTTATGAGTGTGTAAATGTGTGTACGCCGGAAATGTTTGTGCATATAAGTGTGTGTGTGCGTGTGTGTGTGTGTGTGTGCGTGTGTGT